ATAGATGAATACAACCACCAAACACCCTTGAGTCACATACACAAACCAATGCATAAATATAATATACAGATCTCCAAACTGCTGAAGGAAAATCTTGTATATTGCATTTTTTATATTAAATATGTAAAATGTTTAATATTCTTATCAATCTGTTGATGCTCAAGAGTCATGATTATTAAAAAAACTGGTTTCCTTAAAACAGAATGATCCCTTTAAGAGTTTATTTATGACTTTTACTGGGTCAACATACAGTACGCCTATCAAAGAGAAAACCAAATTAAAGAGCTTGTTACCATTCGCAACAACTCTCTTTCTCACTTTCTCCCAGTTACCAACAAGCGTAGCCTCACTTGTTGGCTGTTATCTGCAAGTGATGCAACAATTAAACAGTTTTAATTCAGATATGTTTTTTTCATACTATTTGAATAATGACTCATTTTAGTAGACTAAATTATGTAACTAAATTATTCTCTCTATTACCTTACAAGAGAGGTCAAGGTAAGAAAACCACTCATGCAAACACATAAAAACAAACAGAGCCGGCATGGTGTAACAGGGAGGACTCGGAAATCTATGCAGGGCCCACATGGGTGTCGATGTTGCACTCTCTAGAAAGGATACCATGAGGTCTGCCCTGATAATAGACTCTGTCTTCTGTGTGACAGCCCGTGACAATACACTGATAAACACAGAAGAGACAGCGGAACGATTCACACTGTCAGACACTATGCAGTACCTTTGAAAAGCAAAAGAGTCAATAAATGTTTTTCTGCAGGTTTTTAATGATTTTGCTGGATTGTTAACAATTGTAATGTGTGCCTTGCCAGGGGACACTGGTTCCTCTGAGTTTTTTTCCTCTCACTTTTGTCTGGCTCCTTTGGTTTGCTCACTGGTGGCACTAAGGGATGATTTCCATAAAGTGGTTTTGAAACATTATGTATTGTGACAAATGTTATAAAAGTTCAACTGAAGTGGGTTATAGTTTGTTATGGTCAGTTACCTCCATATCTCAGCTCTGAGCTCATTTACTTATCGCTAGATCACATTACAAGGCACATGTAGATATGTAAACATTTAGCCATTCTTGTACCTTAGACCTTAAGGCCAAATGTAGATCAAGATAGCTCAGGGTTCCAAATTTAGGGTCAATTTACAATGGGAAGGATTTGAGTCTCAACCCTAAGTTTTTACCTTGATAAGTATAGTGTACATACATTTATATTGGACTTAAATTCTAAGACTAAGGAACAATACATACACGTACCATGAAATATGCTCTAAAGATTTGTTTTTTAGTTTTGCAATACTGAAACAGAGGTAATCACTAAAACAAAATTAGCAAAAAAATAAAAAATAGTCAAGCAACCTCTATTGGACCACTTGAGACGGATTAACCATCCAACTCAATGTTTAGAAAAAAGCAATTGGATTTCATTATTTTAGCATATCTGAGAAGTGTAATATATATAAAAGAATTTAAAACAGACTAAATCTAAAACTAAACACAATTACACTGATGCATAGTCATGATGTGCATGCTGCAATAACAAAGATGATGAAAAAAAGTAGCCTAATATATTACCATGCTTTAATTACTGCCGCAACAAGAAGCTTTATAGCTAAAATGAAATAATGTGCAATATGAACGTTGTTAAGCAGCTAAAATGAGCTGCCCATTAGCTGTTTTTTTTTTTGGTTGATTCTCTAAGAGAGGTTTAAAAGAGCTGTTTTTAGAGCTGTTTAAATGTAGACCAAGCTCTGCTGCACTTGTTCATTTTGCTGTGAATAAAGCACCTATAAATCAAATGTATATTAAACTCACAAATCTTGTAGCTGCTAAGCATTTGGCCAATATAAAACTTTTCATATATAAATAACTAACTTGAGGTTTCAATGCATTTCAGAGTGAAATATTTTAGTCTATTAATGAAATACAGTACAAGTATTGTCAGTAAAGTCAAATTTATATACAAAATGGTAAGTCACTGTAAATCCCTCTGTTTTTTCAATCACACATTGCAGACATGTGAGTCGTGGCAGTGCAGTGTCACAGTCCCAGTCGGGAAGCATAATTAAATTACTATCCAGTGAATCACCTATGATCAGTAGTACACAGATCAAACAGTCGCAGTGACAGGCAAAGCAGGAGGGATTAGGCTGGCTCTGCAGTTCCTAAGAAGAATAATAATAATAAGTCACTTGGGCATACAAACCCACACACCTATGTGAACACAAGCAGGGCCAGATTATCCAATGGGCATTATGGGCACAGGCCCAGGGGCCCATGCGCACTTGGGGCCCAAGCGAGGGGAAGAAAAAAAATTCAGAGTGTCTTTACATTAAGTGCAAATAGTGCGCTTGTTGGCAAACGTTATTTACAGTAGCTCCGCCCACCAAAGTCTAGTTGACACGCAATATTAAAAAAGACGCATTGAATTCAATGGCTACAGTGGTGTAGGCAGTAGAGAGTCAGAATCACAGAATTACCTTTTGACGCAATCAACCCGGATTCGAGTCCGCCACTCTATGGGCCTCATTCATGAAACACGAGCAGAACAAATTTTTGTGTAAATCATTCATAAAGCCATTCTGACAAACTTTCGAACTCATGAAAATGTTCTTATTTTCAAAATGTTAGTTGGTACGAAAGAGATGTAGGCCTACACCTGCTGCTCGTGTTAATGGTGCGTAAAACGTTCTGTGTCCTTTTTGGCAAACTGATGACACTGAGTTTTGATGCACTGCCATCATAATATTTTATAAGTTAAATGTTTTTTTTTCTTTTTTTCTTATGGAGCTGAGACTATGGTTGATTAAAGTTCAACTTTGGGTAAAACGCAGCACTCGTCACTGTCATGAGCCGTCCAATCAATGGGACACATGCTACACCGACCAACCATCCTACTTGTACAACGACTGAGCAACAATGGAGAAGTTAATATTACTGGTTACTGCATTTTTATATTCAGTTATATATTCTTCAAAATGAGATACTAGTAATATGTTACTGCCGTTAATATTATAAATCTTAAAAACGTTGTGCCACCAAAGAGTTCTTAAGTGCCACTAGCTGGCCATTTTCAGAAGAGCAACTGGCTAAAAATGCTTTGATGGACACGTTCATTTGAATATTTATTGTTAGGCATATGGCCTATTAATCTTCTTTTTTTTTTTTTTGGCATTTATGAAATATACTGCAGCCAAACCTGAGAAGGGAGTCCAGAATATTCCACTGTGTTCCTGGACACGTAATTTACGTAGCTGTAATTCATAGGCGGGGATTATGTTTATTGTGAACGAGAGTGCGCACGCGCCCTATTTACAAATGATTGGAATTCATTCACATATACATGTTTAATTATCAAATCTGATGTTTACTAAGCATTTGTGAATCTGGAGGGGAGTTTTCGGGAAGGTCTGTTTTATGTTATTGTTGGGTTATTATGTCCCTATGTTATTATTCTGTTAATATACAAAAATACAGAGGTGAAAATAGTATCTGCCAATATGAAGTACAGATAGCATACTTACTATTTACACTTATTGCAAAGATTGCTGCTGGTCCAGGAAAGCATTGTTGCAATCATGTGATATTATAAATCCAGTATTATAGAGGATGCGATCATAGGCTGTAACCTGTGAGTGTAAATCCTTTATAAGCTAGAGGTGTTTCCAACAAATAGTACCCTATCATTTAAAACCGTGATTGTGCACATGTGTGTGTGTGTGTGTGTGTGTGGATGTGGGGGGCCCAACAAGACTATTTTGCCCAGGGGCCTCTGAATTCCTAATCCGGGCCTGAACACAAGTCGTGGACATAAACATACACCTACATGCCTCACACTTAAAAAAAGTCTCCCTCAAGCCTTAACACTTTAACAACCATTACTCAACATGTGACACAAAAAGCCTCAGGGTGACAGGAGCTAAGCACCAGAAACCGGACTGATTCATTTCAGCTCTGCTCAGCTCCATAATTCATTTTACATTATTAAAAAAACAAGCTGAGTTATATTGAGTGGGATCAAACTACACTGTAGCATGACACATCTGTCACATCCCTGAGTTAAATCAGCGCAGGATATTCTGTTCAGATAGCTTACTGTATTTAGTTGTCATGAGGGAAAACCAGTAACATCTTCCCAGGCTGTGTGCTCGCTAAGGACCTCTATTGCAAAACCTACTGGGTATCATTCCAGATAAAATAAGGATTTTGCTATTTGTTTGATGCAATACAACAAAAATCAAGAACACTGCATTACACTATTCAAGCTGATACAAAGACTATTCACTTCTTTTTCATAACACATTCTTAAAGGAGGAGCCTTATGTTTTCTAGTCTAAAAAAGTCTGTGTGCAGTGGAACTGAATGAACTCTGAATGGGTCACAACACCAGACATTTAACTGATTCAACATAAGGACTGTTTGATTCCCAAGTTAAACTGGGACTGAAGCCAAGCCATGTGGCAAAACAGAGTAACGCGAAAACTAATTAAAGGGGTGGTCCAAACTGCTCCTAAAACTACAATTCCTTCAAAGATACGTACAATAAAATATCACGTTTCTCTGTACTTTTTCGAAATCCGTATCATGCAGATAAATGAACTCCAGGACGCTTTTACTGGATTTAAAGCCTGTTAAAAACAAGCTTTTGTAATGCATGATACAGCACGGTGCCAGGTAACAACAGCCTCTAGGTGTAGACCGCAACTTTTCCATGCCTTTCCATTTCAGGAACTTAGGCTATTTTAATTAGAGCTCAACGCCGCTTATATGATTATGTACTTTGTTTATAGCCTACGTCTTTGTTTTGTTAAGGCGAACTGACCCAGTGAACACGCAGCAGTGTTTTTCATCGTTCTTTGATTCCGCCAGCTGATTTAACGCAGAGGTTATTTATTTCTCTTGTCCTTTACGCTGACAACCGAGACTGACCTTCTCATTATGATTTTGAGTATGGCATATTGGGGTTACACAACTGTTGTAGCAGTTTACTTACCTTCAATCTGAGAATCCAGCGTGTTGGACATTTCTATCAAAGTGGCTTCTTTAGTCTTCCCCGTTATTCTCTTCATGTTAAATTCCTGAGTTTCTTTTCTCCCACGGGACAATGAAAAAAAATCTGAAAACCAACCAAATTAATCTCTCTCTCTCTCTTTTGGATGAGTAAAGTGCCTACCGGATTTCCATCATGCTTTAGGATGTTAGTTGGGAGAATGTATGGCTAAACTGTGAATCCCTCGCTCGCTTTCTTCTCCATAACATCAATTACTAGAGCAGCAGGGGCGGCGAGCTGAGGACAGTGGTGGCGGTGATGATGATGTCTTAAAGGGGAGTGGCTTTTAGTGATGTCCGGTGTTACGAGATTTTCGGTTTCAGTGGGCCGAATTGAATTGAATTGAAACCCAATATCTCAGAAACCGAAAATCTCGTAACACCGGTTCGCGAACGAATCGTTCGATTTAAACCGGTTCTTCTTAGTCAACGAGCAGCTAGAGCAGCATGTGAGCAGCGAGCCGGGTAACGATGCCCACTGCTGGAGCGGTTCTCGTTCTCGAGTCAAGAACCGGTTGCATCGGTTTTCGGATCACTGGTACACTCAACCTAGAACCGTTTCTTTCGGACACCTCCGATTTGAGAACCGATGAGCTGATGATACTGCGCATGCGTGTAATTTTTCAAGAGGACGAAAAGCGTTATCCAAGTATTTTGTTAAACAGAAAGTGTGATAATATATATATATCCTCCTGAGAACCAGAAATATAAAGCTTTGTGAATTTAGTATTTTTTCCTGTCATTGCATTGTTTAGAGCATAAGAAAAAAATGGTAAAATAAAATGTTTGAAAAATTATATTTTATTCATATGTTATGCTATGTCCTCAGTAGAGGACACCAGGACTTAGTTTTTCTCAAAATAAAATGACAAGAATAGACATGAAAAGGCAAAAACAATGCGAAATTTCTTTTTTTTTTAATCACCAATCAATTTTTACGTTTCAGGATTTTTTTTATACCTAATTTTGTTTAAGGATGGTTCTCTTAGATAAATTTATCTAATCTGTGTACTTTGTTCATCTGAAGATTCTGTTAAGTTATAGGCCAAAGGGGTTTGTCAGGGATGTTGGACCAGACTCTGTTTAATAGGAATAAGGGATGATTTATGAAATACCTGTACTGTAATTATAGCTAAGATGATTCACACATTGAGTTTGTAGAGAATAGAACATGAACACGAGTAGAGTGTAGTGATATCTGATTAGTGAGATCGCTAATGAGGAGCCACGTCCCTAAGCAGGGGGTTTAGTACTGTGGAGTGTAGGGGTGGGGGAGAAAATCGATACAGCATATATCGCGATATTTTCCGCGGCAATAGCCTACTGTATCGATACACAAACGCCAAGTATCGATCTTTTATTATACTATTTGGTAGAATAATAAAAAAAGATGTCTTTACAATCCACTAGATGGTGTGTTGAGTTTTTTTTTGGTGAGGTCAGCTGGCCCTGGGTCACCTTCAGCATGCAGTAAGTTAGTCAAATAAAGAGGGCGGCATCGCGGAAAGTTATCAGGAAAGCCCCGTCCGCGTTTAAATCGGATGTATGGACTTACTTCGGATTTGTAAACAAGAAGGGGATGTACCGAAAATACAGGCTACATATAATAATAATCATGTGGCGCGCCGCGTCGCGCATAAATATGCTTTTAGTCCTGGTGTCCTCTACAGTGGACATTTATGAAATGATGTCCTGTTTCATAACAAGAAGTCATATTTTGATTTGAAACCTCATAAAATTTTCCTGAGATGTTGATTTATGACAAACAATTGGAAAATTAATCAGATTTAAATTATAATTACAAAATATTATCATATTTCCATAAGGATGTACAATTTTATCACTAAATTAATGTCAGCCATTTTTAAAGACCAAGGAGAAGAGGTGGTCATGGTGAAACATCCAGTCATTTGGTATCTCTGAAAAGCTCTGAATGTGCTCTGTACAGGACAGACTTAAAACTGTGACATGTGAGGTCTCAGAGAAATTCACTAAAAATATAAAATATAATGTCCACTACAGAGGCAAAAACTCCATAGCTGGGTCTCAGGATGATATATCGATCTTTTATTATACTATTTGGTAGAATAATAAAAAAAGATGTCTTTACAATCCACTAGATGGTGTGTTGAGTTTTTTTTTGGTGAGGTCAGCTGGCCCTGGGTCACCTTCAGCATGCAGTAAGTTAGTCAAATAAAGAGGGCGTCAGCCATTTTTAAAGACCAAGGAGAAGAGGTGGTCATGGTGAAACATCCAGTCATTTGGTATCTCTGAAAAGCTCTGAATGTGCTCTGTACAGGACAGACTTAAAACTGTGACATGTGAGGTCTCAGAGAAATTCACTAAAAATATAAAATATAATGTCCACTACAGAGGCAAAAACTCCATAGCTGGGTCTCAGGATGTTTTTTTTTGGTGAGGTCAGCTGGCCCTGGGTCACCTTCAGCATGCAGTAAGTTAGTCAAATAAAGAGGGCGGCATCGCGGAAAGTTATCAGGAAAGCCCCGTCCGCGTTTAAATCGGATGTATGGACTTACTTCGGATTTGTAAACAAGAAGGGGATGTACCGAAAATACAGGCTACATATAATAATAATCATGTGGCGCGCCGCGTCGCGCCCCACCAGGTGTTCTGACAAATAATGCTAACGTTACGTTACCTATCAGATTATGCTACCAACACTGTATTTATCCTACTGTAAAGGCCCGTTCACACCAAGGACGATAACTATAAAGATAACGATAAAGATATTGTTATAAAAATCGTTCTCAATAATAAAGAATAGCAGAGTCCACACCACAACTATAACGATAAAGACAAAGAGAAACGATATCGCTGGAATCACTTTCAAAACGATTTTTCTCCAGCTGATGAACGATAAAAAAAAATTGAGAGCCAATCAGAATCCATCCTGCTGTTACAAGCTCGAGAATTTGAAGCGGCAGAGGCTCGTGCGCTTAGAATAATCAGACGATATCGTTCGCTGGTGTGGACGCTAATATCGTTATCTTTATAGTTATCGTTCTTGGTGTGAACGGGCTTAAGGGTAGGTTTAGGGTTGGGGTAGGTGTACATGTTAATAAAGCCTAAATAAAGCCTAAAAATAAAAAATATATCATTTATTACTCTTTCTTAATTTTAGTTAATGAGAATACAGTTATTCACTGTTAGTTCATGTTAATTCAGAGTGCATGAACTGTTAACAAGCACAACTGTTGATTTTAATAATGCATTAGTAAATGTTGACATTAACATGAACTAAGATTAGTAAATGCTGAAGAACTATTTGAAGTTGGAAAAAGGTAATAAATTGCAATATATCACAGAATATCACAATATATGTAAAATCGCAATAATATTGTATCGTTACACAAGTACCGTGATAATATCGTATCGTGAGGCCTCTGGTGATTCCCACCCCTAGTGATCAGTATGCTGCTCGGCTCATCCACGAACACAACATGGTGTCAGAAGCGGCTAGAACAGTCTACAACAAACGATAAACTTTTGAATAAGTCAATAAACACCACGGGAGAAGAAACGCTAAAGTAAGAGCATACCCACCCGGCACATGACCGACCTTCAACGTTGAAATATGGTTGAAATAAGGTCAGTTGTTGTTTTAACATTGAAACAATGTTGAAAAATGTTTAATGCTAAATGGTTGAAAAAGATTAACAAAAACACTTGTAAATCAACGTTGATTTTTAAAATAAGATCTGTATGTTGAATCAACTTAATGACTTCAACAGCATACAAAAATGTCTGCCTTTTAAATTATTATTAAATTATTTAATATATTTCATTATTATTATTTTATTAGCATTTTACAATATTTTGATCATGAAACCTATTCAAAAATGTAAAGGAATATGTTAAATATTATCATCATTAACAACAATAAAACTACATTTCGCTGCGTTATTGGTTAATCTGGCTATCATCCAGGAAACTGGCAAATGAAACGGTTCGCGCCTTTGTAAATTTGAAAATATGACCGTTATTATCGTCTTTCTGAGTGAGGCATCTGACTGTGAGGTGCTGCTCGTTTAAACTGCTCGGTCAGTCCCGAATAATTTTATATTTGCCTGTTACATTTTTTTTAAGCGAATTTGAGTCGTGACATGTCGGAGAACAAAAACTGGAATGTGAACACAAGAAGGGTCAGATGTGATCTGCGAGGTCCTACAAACATATGGGCAAAATCAGTTAAGAAAATCGCTATTCCTTTCAAAAATAGTATGTTTCAAAAACACGTTACCAGTGTTTACAAATGGGTGTAACATGTAACATGTAACCTGCAGAAGATGCAGACCACACCTGTGTGTGTGTGTGTGTGTGTGTGTGTATTACTTTATCACAGATGCTAAAGTTAGATGCTCATCTGATGTTGTTGTGTTGATGGCAAGTTATGTGTTAATGTCTGTCTTTTAGAGATTTTTTCCACATTTTCCTGATGTGAATGCCATGCAAGTGTGTTATATATTTTTAAATTGTATAATAGTCTCAACGAAAACATACTCTGTTCATGTTTTCTGAATAGCATATAATCGCAAATGTCAGTACAATTTAAATTAATTAAGATTGTTTAAAGCAGTGGTTCTCAAAGTGTGGTACGAGTAGCATAGTGGTACTCAGGCTCCCTCTAGTGGTACTAGTGGCAGAGGAATCACTAAATTAAATATAAATTAATGTTAATGGGGTCATATGATGCGATTTAAATTTTTCCTTTCTCTTTGGAGTGTTACAAGCTCTTGATGCATAAAGAAGATGATGAACCAATTGGGGAAGTTCATTCCAGACCTGGCCGAGAAAACAAAGCCCTTGTGAGATCTCATCAAAAGGGCAAGACAGTCTGTGTGGTGGCCCGGCCTGAGTTCACAATTGTGAACTATGGTGCAACAGTGTGATGAATGTAGAAAGGCTTCCATGACGGCTGTAGAACCGCTTCAACCTACAGACTTTCCACCGTATCCATGGCAGAGAGTGACTACAGACTTGTTTGAACTAAAGGGAAAAAAGTACCTTTTAACAGTCGATTACTATTCAAGAGATGTCAATGTGGCCAAATTGGCATCAACTTCCTCCGCAACAATAATCGAACATCTGAAAGCAGTGTTTGCATGGAATGGGGTGCCTGAGATACTAATATCTGACAATGGGCCACAGTATAGCAGCGATGACTTCCGGGATTTTTCAAGGGAGCATGACTTTAAGCACATAACCAGCAGCTCATGGTATCCACAAGGAAATGGCGAAGCC